TCTTTGTGCATGGCTTTGTGATAATGTGTGCGAAGGAGACAATGCCAAAACAACCTGGTGCAATACCAGGCATCAGACTGCTGGCCATATTCTGCACTTTGTACCACCCACACAACACCCATCGAGTCAATGAGTCGAAGCCATTTGTGATGTAGTTCATTTGAACTTAGTGATGTGACCCTCAGGAAAATCTTGGCCCGATTGTGGCCAGAAGTTAAGGAATATGAGATAGTCATACCATGCATACATCCCCCATGATAGCTCCCAATGACTAATTCTGCCCAATACCAGTGCCCAAGGGAAGAGCACCCACCGACTGCCTCAACCTTGACGGTCAGCTTTTGACCCGCAACCTCACAGGTGTAGTCTCCAGCATCTCTCTTGTCTACATGCTGCATGACCAGACGTCGGGTTTTGCCTTCTGACTCCAGCTTGAATTTCTTGCTGGGGATGAGCAGCTTCCCATCCTTGTACCATTTGACTTCAGCTTTCTCCTGGGCCACCTCGCAGCTCAGGATGGTGTTCTCCATGACAGTAGCCTTTACCTCTTTCTGCACCTTCTCCTGGTTTATGAAACCTGTTTCTGGCTCTGAGTTAGAGACATGGGAAAATTAAAGATTGATGAACATTAGCATATCTAATGTGTCTTAGCAGATCTGCATAGTTGTAAACCCTGAAGCACATCATTTGCTGACAGCGGTAGTCTCTGCTGGGCAGCTTTAAATATTTTGAAAGCGGGTCATTCAATACAAAACTTCTTTCTTTTTCTGTTCTTCTCATGAGCATGAAATAAAATGATAGGGTAATCTTCCAGAGCAGACCTCGTAACTAGTACAATACCCGTATCATTTAGCAGAATCCATTTTGGCTACTCACATCAGCACACGTGCAACCTTAGGTGGTTGAGCAGTTCCTTTGATTTAACATGCTTAAAGTTTTCAACCTACTTGGGCACCTTGCTCATTTTGGACCTAATGCACCAGTCTAAGAAGTTGCTGGGTACCTTCCAGAACAGAAAGGTATTTCACCATCTGGGAAGAGGCATGCCTCACCCTGAGGTTGGGATCTACATCTTAGAATGAAAAAAACATCAAAAAATAAAAGAATAAAAATCAGAGTTTTGGATCAGTCTGGATGAGCATGGCACTTCAAAATGTGAATACTAAACCCAATTTGATCTCCTCTTCCAAGCCAGGTTCGAATTTTTTTCCCCACTCAAGCTGGTAATGCTACAACCCTAATTCAGGAAACCATTTAAAACACACTTACAGATCAACACCGGC